TCCTCAGGGGCACTGGCTGCTGTCTCACCTCCCCCCACATTGCTGCCTCTGATACAGAGTCAGCAAGAGGAGGGGGAATGTGTGTAGTTGACAGGATTAACCCATAAGCCCAGGCTTATTGGTTGGTTAATTGTGTAGTCAACTAGATGTTCACATCCCTAATTTCTGTGTCCTATTTCTGCCTCTTCCACAGTTTTCCTGTGTTGACTTTGGGCAAAAGATTTAACCTGTTTTTCCTTTCTGCAAAGTGGTAATATTACTTTCCTACCTAACAAAGTTATGGGCAGCTAAGTTCATTAATGTTTTTGCTTAAAAGCTGGTCCCCCCCAGCTCCAGCCCCATGGAAGGGAGTAGTGGCGCAGTGGTGGCATTCTAACTTTGAAATGTACAAGAGTCCCCGCTGGGCTTCTTGTACGTTTCAAAGCAGAAGTGCTGCATGGAGCCTGGGGTTAGCAGGGAGTCCCCGCATTGCTTCCTTCTTGAAATGTACAAGAGCCACCACTGGGACTCTTGTGCGTTTCAAAGCAGAAGCGCTGACCCTAGGCTCTATGCGGCATTTCAATATTTGAAAGGTACATTTCAAAGGCAGAATGTGCTAGTCCTTACTGACTAATTAATTAATCGAATAGTTGATGGGATTTCCATCAACTATTTGATTTATCAAATTTAACGTCCCTAATTATAAAGAGTATCTATTTCACCAATAGAAGTTGGTCAATTTAAATATGTTACTTCACCCGCTTTGTGTCTCTAATATTCTGGGACTAACAGAATTGTAACAGTACTGTAAACAGAGCTTCAAACCAGGGATGTTAAATTTTGTTTAATCAGCTAATTGAGTAGTCAATGGAATTTCCATTGACTGCTCAATCAGTTGATAAGAGGGGAAACTGCAGAGCCGCAGCAGGGTTAGCTCCCGGCCCTGGGAGCTAACTCCGCTGTGGCTTTGCCTTTGAAATGTAGGGACAGCTGCCTGGCTCTTACTACATTTAAAAGGCAGAGTCATAGTGAGGAACTGGGCACGATCCAGTGCCAGAAGCTATGTCTCTGCTTTAAAAGCATTTAAAAGATAGAGGCGCAGCAGGGGACTGGGCACAAACTGGGATAGTGGATTCCCAGCTCATGCCCAGTACCCTGCTGCTCCTCACCCCTCCCCCTACTCCCCCCAGTGGAGACAGTATTGGGGGGAACTGGCTTTTAAGCTCATTCTTCACCAGCACTGGCTCCTGCGTATGCTTATCGAGTAGTCGACTACTTGACTATCCACTTACATCCTACTAAAAACCTTATTTTTCTGTTAAAAATCTTAGTGCATTCCTTGAAATATTGTTTAAAATGTTTCATATATGTACCATGTGTCTTGCTAGGTGCTCCACAGATTATAAATATTACTACCGTATATTGTGTATAACATAAAACAGGATTTGAAATACTTGAAGCTGCTACTACAAGAACTAAGTTATCTAGCTAATCGATCTTTCTTTCTCTCTCATTTTAAACATAATGTGTTTCACTATGTTATTTAAGCACTTATTAATTAGGGTGAAAAAATACTCCCAAAACCATTTCCCTGCATTTAAAGAGAATAAAAGTTTGGTGGTGTTTTGTAATATTGTCAATCACTTTTCTGATTAATACACTAATTATTTATAATTAGGGCCTTCCAAATTAATGACTATGAAATATGGTCTCCCCCTGTGAAATCTGCTTTTCTGTGTGCTTTTAGCCTAAACTATACGGATATAATGGGGAAGGCTAACATTGCCCAATTAGGACCTTGACCCGAAAGGGAGTTGCGGGATATGGGTGGGTGGGTATTGCATTATTCCCACCCATATTTCTCTGCTATCTTGAAAGCTGGGCTGCTGCAGGAAGCTGTCTGTTGGCCATGTGCCCAGCTCTAAAGGCAGCACCAAGCTAGCAGCAGCACGTAAGTAAGGGTGGCAATATCATACTGTGCAGTCTTTATTTCTGTACTACTACCTTCAGAGCTGGGATCCTGGCCAGCAGCCACTGCTCTCCAGCTGCCCAACTCTGAAGACTCCACGACTGTCAAAAGAAATAAGGATAAAAGTACACTCAATCCCCCTTACTATAGCCTTGTGACTACCCCACAACTCCTTTTTCCATCAAGATCCCTACAACTGCAAAACTGTAACATTTTAGATTTAAATAGCCGAAATCATAACATTTACAACTTTTAAAATCCTATGACAGTGAAATTGATCAAAATGGACCTTGAATTTGGAAGGGCCCTAACTGTTACAGACTTCCACTTTTCATGGTTTAGTTATGTTTTCTTGCTTCACTTCTCAGACTAAATGATCACAGTGGTTCTTTCTCAGCCTGGAATCTCTGAATATCCGATGTAGAATTGAATTTGTGTCCATCTTGGGTCTGGCACATGTCAGTAGAATGTCAATCTTGTGTAGAGAATAGAACATTGTAAACTGGATAGACATTTCTTTTGATTTATGAAATATTTCTGAATTTTACTGTAAAATAGAGCAGAGTGAATAATTCATAGTGAATAACTTTCTAAAAATTTACTCAAGCAGTTTATTTTTCTTAAAATGACTTGCTATTTGAAATTTTTTAGCGAATACTCTTTGCACAAGTTTGAGTACATTAGTTTATTCCAAAATATTTGCTATTGTAGGAATTTCTTAACTTTGGGCATGTGTCATGTGAATTGTTTGGATTAATAATGTTTGTTTAGAATCATATTTCTGCTGCAAGTCACATTTGAGCTCAGAATTCATTTTCTGCAAATATTCTTTAACAATTGATTTCTGCGAACACTTCTGTCAGTGTCACGTTGGAGAGAGAGAAGCCCTAGGACTGGGAATCAGGATAGCTGTTAGGGATGTTAAATATCGTGTAATTGAATAATTGTGTAACCACATGAAATTTTAGTGGTTACATTACTATTCAGTAGTCCGAGCCGACAGTCAGCGTGTATCAGAGGCAGCAGTGCAGGTTGGCAGGCAGGAGCTAGTCCATGAGGGGAGCCAGTTTTTAAAACTCCTGCCTGCCACCCCTGTCTGCAGGGGGCCCAAGTGCCCCGTGGATAGAAGCTATGGAGCAGGTGGGAGGGAGCAGGTGGCTCCACGGGATCCGATGCCCGTAGGGACTGGTTTAAAAGCCAGTTCCTCAGGGGCACTGGCTGCTGTCTCACCTCCCCCCACATTGCTGCCTCTGATACAGAGTCAGCAAGAGGAGGGGGAATGTGTGTAGTTGACAGGATTAACCCATAAGCCCAGGCTTATTGGTTGGTTAATTGTGTAGTCAACTAGATGTTCACATCCCTAATTTCTGTGTCCTATTTCTGCCTCTTCCACAGTTTTCCTGTGTTGACTTTGGGCAAAAGATTTAACCTGTTTTTCCTTTCTGCAAAGTGGTAATATTACTTTCCTACCTAACAAAGTTATGGGCAGCTAAGTTCATTAATGTTTTTGGGACATGCAGAACAGTGATGAGTGCTATAACTTATGAGGTGCCAAAGCATCTGTGTTTACATTTTTCATATTTGAGATAATGTTCACAGGATTCATTGATATATTTATCCAATGAAAAATTTGTACTGGTCCTTTTGGATATACCATTCATGCTTCTAGGAGAATTTTATACCGAGGTTTCATAAGCTGAAAAGTTGTAAATCCTATATGCAGAGAGTCAAATACTACTAACAGGGTGACAAACATGAAAATGAGGGAGTTGTGCATGTGTAACCAAGAGTGATATCTGGTTCAGAATATGTTTGTGCTGAAGAAGGCTGTTGTCTGAAAGTTTGTGTATGTTGTTGGGGTTTTTTTTGTTTAGCTTGAATAATAGTTCAAATTCAGATAGAAATATTAAAACTGTTCAGAGTGGTGTATGTACGTCACTGACTATTTTAATTATGTACTTATTTTGAATGTTGGGGAAGGTTGGTTTTGAATGCTGGTTGTTTGTACCTCATTTACTATGTGATCTATTATTGAAGAACAAACAAGAATTAAGAATCTTTTTTAATCTCACTGGTCAGATGCCTGTCAACACATCATTAGTATCTTGAAACTGAATTTTTTCCTTACCCAAATTACTTTTTTTTCTCTGTGAAAAGAAATTTTTTTAAAGTATTTTTTTTCCTACCCCCC